TATCATAACATGTAATTTTGGTGTAAAATATTCTTAAGATTATCTGAAAATCTATTTTCATATCTAACTATAACATTTTAAACTCCAAAAATAGTTAAGTTCAAGTAGATCGATAAACATATGAAAATCGTCAAAATGCACAGTCTTAGATAATGTATTACAAGATGCACTATTTCTGGGACTCAAAATCTTCTTCTTCTTTTTTCATATTCATACATCTCAATGTTAAGATGATCAATTACAGGGTTTTTCAACATTAAAACAACCTTTTCTGATGGATTTTTTAGGTGCATCTTTAATTCCACATTTCAAGGTCGCAACCTTATATAAACTTTTTCCATATATATATATATATATATATATGAAAATGTTTTTAATAGGGTTGCAGCCCTATCAAAATAACTAAAGTCTTATCTGAAATCGTATAAAAAATTACAGTTCTAGCATCGAAAAACCTTCTAGCATCGAAAAACCTTCAAATCGATCATCTAGGCCTTGACCATTATGATTGTGAAAAAATTAAGATTTCAAACCCTAAAGATAGTGTATATCGTAACAGATTATCTAGACTATCCATTTTGCCCTAAAAATAAGTGTTCATGGATTCGCAAGATTTGTACTATTTTTTGAGCTTCAAATTTTATTGTCGGTATTAGAAATTGATTTTAGGGAAATCATTAGGATTTTCGATGCCTAAAGCGCTTTTAGGACGAGGATTTGGGGTGAGGCTTTACTTTGTTTTCATAAAGCCTAGGCCTTATAGATTCATGTTCCTCTATTGTGTTCTAGCAAGGGCCATACCCTAATTCATAACATGTTTTTCATAAAAGAGAAAAATGTTTCTCGTAGCATAAAATTATATTGAGACTGATCTTGGTCATATAGTAAATAATTGTCATGGACAATCACTCTGAGCCGCAGTGATTTGTTTGCAAGATGTTTTAGGTGCAGGCCATTCGGACACTTGAATATTACATCTGTTATTATGATGGCTCGGGTGATTTTAGACACAGAAAAAATAGCTGCAGCTCAAGTGAAGTTTATACTTCCTTTTTCTTCATTTTAGGAGTGATTCCATATTGGGGCCGTTTTGTTCAGGTAATTCTTTTCAGCCTCCAGAATTATATGTGAATAAAACAATAAAAAAAAATCCATTCTTTATTGTTATATTTGCAACTAAAATTACAAACAGGCTATTTATCTCGTTCTTTTATCATTTACAAATGCTTCAAGTTTGTCAAAACACTTGTGGTTGAAAAACAGAAGCTTAAGGAGTGGGCAATTAGTTGGACAGTACCATCTTGTAGAATGAAATGTAAACAGGAGGTGCCAAGATATTAGCGGTAGATCAGGGGTATTCGATCACAGTTTCAAGTCCAGGCACCATAAATTTTCTCAAATGGTAGATATAATGAAGAGTAGGTGCCAATATATCAGTGGTAGATCAGGGGTCTGCCATCACAGTTTCATGTCCAGTATATCTAGCTGTTGGTGGATACCTGTGATTATCAGTGAAATGTTTATTCCTAAGTCATGATAAACACAATTTTAACTACCGGTGGTGGCTATCCATCGATTGCTCATTATTTCTACCATTAGAGAGAATTTATGGTGCCTTTGGACGTGTTAAAATTCCATGTTTTTGGAGCACCTGCACAATTTATGCAGGATGTTTCGGGAGCTGTTTTGATATGTTGCATCTGACTATACTGATGCATATTTATTGACCTTAATGAAAGTCTGGGAACTGTTGTTTCTGTGGCTTGCAGCGGTGTTGTATTTTTATCATCTTTTCGCGCTTCTCCATGTTGGTTGAGTCATGTTAGTATTGGTGGTCTTGCAGTGCCTACGAAGGTTGTATGAAGAGAAAGATTCTATGCAAGGGTATAATGCACTCAAGTACTTCTCCACAATTATTGCTGTTGTGACAAGAACTGCATTCACTTTACAGAAGCAAATGAGCTGGATGGTTATGGCTCAATTATCATCTGCCATTGCTACTATTATCAGTACATATTGGGACATCGTCATAGATTGGGGACTCCTCCAGCGCCATTCGCGTAACCGTTGGTTACGAGACAGGCTCCTCATCCCTCATAAGAGCATATACTTTGGAGCCATGGTGGGGAGGAATACAGTTCTTTTATCCGCTTTCACTCTTCAAATTCTGTGTTCTTTTAGTGACTCAAGGCGCGTTAGTATCATATTTAATACGTTATTGAAGGTGTTGATTTTTAAAATTGCAGGCTTTGAATATTATTCTCAGGTTTGCTTGGTTACAGTCAGTATTGGATTTTAAGATACCACGCATCCATGGAAAAGCATTGGTAGCAATTGTTGCTTATTTGGAGATCCTTCGGCGAGGCCTCTGGAATTTCTTCAGGTTGTTTGTTATGACTTGCCATTTTGCATGTCATCAGTTGAGAGTGAAAATCAAGTTATGATGCATGCATAAATGTCTGCACCCTCGCACATACACATACACAAGGGGTGGCCAGAGAGGGAAGTGAGGCTCTTTTTTCTGAGGAGAAATATATTCTTCTAGAGATTCAGGTTCTCATATCCTCAGGGATCATTTTATTCTTCCATAGGCAAGTCTGAAGTGTAGGTTTCTAATCCCATTGGCAGTTGTTGCTCTTCTGCCATTGCTTCAATGGAGTCCATCTTGTTTGTATTGAATTGTAGGATCTGCTCCAATGCTATCATATTTGCTATGCTTTGGCTGAAGCGCTGGAGTCTCTCGCTTCAGCCCCCAAACCAAAGCGAAGTAAATCACTCCCAGGTTAAATTGATTATATGACTACACTTGCAGTAATACCTTCAATATATTGAAAAATTTGTAAGATGTACACTTAAAATATATATCTTATCAGAAAAATACCTATGTTACATTAAAAAAGTTATACAACATACATTTTATGCCGATAAATCCTATAAAGTTCCTACTTATGCATATTATTTCCATTTTTTAATTTTTGAAGAATACACCTGAAGACCTTCCTTGTATCTGCTGAAGAACTGAAGCGCGTCCTTTTCCAGACATAATGAAGAACACTCCAATGTAAATCTGATAACAATTGATCTGCTCTTCTTGTGCTAGATGGTCATTCCCATCAAGTATGTATCATTTTACTTCAGGCTATCCATCCAAAGCAGAATCCCAAACAAAAGAAACAGGGGTCTCCTTGTATGTTTTCCTCCTTACACATGCTGGAGTAGTATCACTTATATGTGTTGTTTTTAGATGGTTAATGTGGGAATTGAACATGCAGCCTAGGGGTTTATGCATAGAGCTCCACACCACTAGGCTATGGGTAGAACCAAATGAATCTTTACTGTGAAAGTTTGAGTGTGCATTCATTCCAAAGTTTACAGTTTCCAAGGAATACTTATTTACCCATTACATTGTACATGGTTATGTTTCAGTTCATAATTTAGAGTTTGCCAGCTAAATTTCTCAGGTTGGAGAACGAGCACTTGAACAATGTTGGCAAGTATCGTGCATTCAAGTCTGTGCCACTTCCTTTCCAATACGACGATGAAGGTGTGGATGACAAGGATGACAGTTAGGCAGTATCTGCATCTGTATTTGATATATTAGTCAATTGGTTGCAGGTAACAGAAAGTAGACTGTAATCCAGAGGACTGGTCCACTGGGTCATCACTATCTATTGGAATGACGAACAGATATGGAAAGAGTGCCACTATAGGGGCCATGTCCGTGTGTTCGGGTGGCTCCACTCCCTCCATCAGCATCGATCATTTCAATGGTGGTCATGACTGTGGTTTTGATTGACCACTGGATTAGACTATACTTTCCCTATCACAATCATGTCCCATGCAAATTAGTGAGTCAGAAAGGATTTAATTGTGTTATTGATAAACAATTTGATTAAATCGGGATTTGTATGCTCATGCTCAGACATCTCATTGGGCAGAAATGTTGTGCACCTCTTATGATGGCTTCCATGTAATATATTGTCCAAAATACAAAAACACAGACATGGTGGGCGTATAAAGTAGCTATTCCCTTGCAACAAAATTTTAGATACTTATGTACTTTTATGTACTTTCGTTTTGTAATACAATATCTTTCTAGTAAGGGAATTTTTTTTGGTCATTAGGAAAGGTGTGACATCACTCGCATGGAGCACACTAATGGTATTTAATATTACATGCGCCCCTTCTAGATAATGTCGCACACATCCCTCCTAAGGACCAAAAATATTTTTTACTAAAAAAATAATATTGTATTACAAAGCAAGGGTATATAAGTTATGTAAGTGAAAATATTGTTTTACAAAACAATGGTATATGAGTAAAAATATTGTATTACAACACAATGCTATATAAGTGTTCAAAATGGGTTAAGTACAGTTGTAAAATGCTTTATTACGTGAGCACTTTGACATAACCCTTTCTAAAATTATTAGCGGCCATCAGCCAAATTTCCAATTTAATTCAATATTATCCAAATCTATTGCAAGGAGCACTATTATCAAGATCTGACCGATCATCAAACTAGTGATGGGATTAGTCTCGTTAAAAAATTCTCTAATATGTGTCTAATTTGTCTAGTATGTTAAGTTAAAATGTCAATATGACTCGACATGTCTATAAGAGTTTTTTTTATTTGTGGTAAATTATAAAAAATAAAATAAAAGCATAAAATTTAAAATGAGTAATTTTATTGCAAGAAAAATTAAAATTTATTTATATGTATTTTTAAAATTATTCAAAATAATATTTACTTTGCACACGTGTGATTTAGCAATAATTATTCGCATTGTAATATTTGGTGGAGTGATGGAATATAATTGTCACATTTAGTAGAGTGGTAGTGTTATACCTCTAGTTGGTTGTGAGAGAAAAACACAGCTTAATTTGCTTTTTAGAAACTAAATTTAATTTGCTTTTTAGAAACTAAATTTAATAAGCATTCAAATATATATAAATTATATAATTTTTTAGAAATTGTTAAATTTAAAAAACTAAGATGAGATACGAGTATGTTGCAAGAAAATTTAAAATTCAATTATAATTATAATTACAATTTTTTATTTTGAAAATGACACTTGTTTTGACATTACAAATCATTTTTCAACATAGACATCAAGCGAAGTGGTATTGTGGTGTATGTTATTTGCGGAAGACATAATTTGATCAATGAGACTCGAAGCAACATCAACACGAAGGTAGAACTTTAGATTGTGTTCTAGAATCTATAGGTTTTAAAATTAATCGGATTAAGACACAATATATGGAATACACATTTAGTAATAAGAATAGTAGATACGAGGAGGTAGTTAAGATTGACGGGTCAAAAAAATACCATAAATAGCACACTTTTGACATCTAAGTCGATAATCTAGGAAAATGAAAAGATTCAGGGAGATGCCGCACATAGAATTAGAATGGGATTGGAGAAGTGGAGATGTGCAATTAGAGTTTTATATGATTGCTGCATAACAATAAAATTGAAGAGGCAATTTTATAGGACAACTATGAAACTATCTTTGTTTTATAGGATAGAATGTTGGGCAATCAAGAAACAATATACCCATATGATGAGTATAGATGAGATGAGAACATTGAAATGGATGAGTGACAAGACAAAAAGAGATAGAATTAAAAGAAAGACTTTAGGTATGATTCTAATAGCCAATAAGATGAGAGAATGTAGACTTAAGTGGGTTGGGCATCTATGGTGCAGACCCGGTACAACACCTGTTAGAAAGTGCAAGTTGGTTATAGTAGAAGGCTCAAAAAAGGTAAAAGTATATTCAAAAGGATGTGATTGGAAGTAGTGAGAAAAAAATATAAAAACTTATGATCTGGTATGACCCTTGATAAAACAGAATGATGAACCAGGATTTATATAGCCGACCCCAAATAATTGAAAAAATGTTATGATGATGATGACGACATGGATCAAAGTGCCAGTGGCAAAATTTTGCCTCTCAACAATACTTTTTAGTTTCAGATCCCACAATCAACATAACTTTTGTTATCTAGTCATCAACAGGTGTGGCAATGGACCGGACCGGATTAGGTACCCGACGCGTGGACTCGACCTCAGGTCCGGGTATGGGTCCAAATTTTGGACCGGACCCGTTGCCTGCCTCGGTCATAAAATACTTGGGGAATGGGGAGCTTTTAACACCTCCAACACGCATTGGACCAGTGTTCGATACAGTCTCTCAGTGGGGCTTCATAAATAAAGGTCAATTAATGATAGAAGTTGTCAATTGATCGGAAGACGACAAGTTGAACGAATGGGTAGAACCTCAAACTTTCTTCTGCATACGCACGTAACCCCCAAACATTTCATCATAAAAAAAATTGGAGTAGAATGAATGTTGAAAGAGTCATCAGGTTTCGGTAACATGTCTTGTAGCCACTCACGCATTATAAATAAAAAAAACACGATTTCTTTGACCCACTTTCATTTATTTATTATCTAAAACTCTCCTCACCCAAATTTAATAGTAGAAAAATTACACGTCGAAAAAGACCGAATAGTTGTTTGCATTCTTAGGTTCGACTTTCAACGCACGAGGCGTCCGTACGTACGTACGTAAGTAAAAAAATTATTGACTTTTGCTATGCATACGAATAAGTCTTCGACTATTAGTTTATTATTATTATTGAGTGTCAACTTGAAACTCCATGAATTATTATTGTTATGGTTTGTTTTTTTTTTTGTTTGAAATATATAAAAAATATATATTATTACAATTTATGTTAGTATTTGGTTCAAATAAAAAATTCTAAAAAAAATAAAAAAATCTAAAAAAACATGAATAAAAATAATGAAAAAAAATATATAAAAACTTATCTGAAGAGGAAGACCCTTGTCAAAGTAGAATTCGAAACACCATAATTCTTGCAACCTACCCCAAATAATTAAAATAAATGTCTCCTACTACTGATGATAACAATGATTATAATTCTACTAACGTATTATCTTTAGGCTATTAGGTTGGGGTAGCTTTATTGCAACATTAACTATTATGGTAATGTGGTTGGTTCGTTACTCTTTAGTCTTTCTCGGGGATAGAACTTACCTCTAATCAAATTTTTTTCTCATTTTTGATACGAAAATATATTTTTTTCGCAAATACTCTCAAGTAAAAAAAAGACTTTTTCTTTTTTTTTTTATGAAAATACCTTTTTTTGTATATAAAAAATTAATTTTTGGCGGGATGTTCACGTGTGATTACGCACAGTACTAAAAGCTACATGGGATGTCGAGTTGCTTTTCATTATCTGCCGAACCCCTTCCCAATCCAGAACCACTTTCTATCGGACCACCTTTTGAATCTGCCATACCGCCATATAGATATACCGGACCACATGTGCTAGACCACAATGTGCCAGACTGCCTGCCATATAGATCAGCCAGACTGAAAAGCAAAGCAATAATGTTCTTTTAGATGGTGAGTTCAGGGCCAAGAAAGCGTAGAAAACCAAAGAGATGCAAGGAAAGACTTGATGTTAGAGATAAAGATGGAGTTTTGAGGGAGAGATGATGATGTTTGAGAGAGAAAGAGTTGGAGTTTTAAAAAGAGAAATGGAGTTTTGAAAGAAAGAGAGAGAGAAAGGGATGAAGTTGTAGGAAAAGATAAAATTTAGATAGTTAGCTTTTGTTTGGGTCAAAATTTATGATAAAAGAAGCCAATTATTGGGTGTCAGAAAGTTAAAAATAGAAAATAAATAGATATTTTTCGTAATAAACTTGTAGTGAGCATTTTTGCTCTTTAAAAAAAGCGCGGGGTAAAAAAAAAATAAAAAATAAAAATGAAGATGGATGAATAGGTAATATAGCTGTTTTACGGGGGCAGGCAGCTGACATGGCCACAACACAGATATAACCCCATATCTTCGAAGAGGGTACGCGGTCCCGCCCCTACCCCAACCCCTACCCTACTCTGTGTCTCACATTTAACGTCAAAGAGGAACGCGGGACCCATCTACTCTACTCAGTGACCAAATTCATTTGAAGAAACAGAGATGACGGACCCTCGGTCCTTCCCCGAAAGCTCGTCGGCCCGGCCTGTCCCTTCCCTTTCCTTTTACTCTCTCTTCCCCCCCACCCACCCACCCATTGGCGAGCGCCGTCTCTCATCGTTGCTTATTCTTCAGCAGACTCCTTCTTCTTCCTCTTCCATTTTTCTTTGTTCGATGTCGCCTCTCTCTCTCTCTCTCTCTCTCTTTTGCTTATTCTTCATCGCACACCTTCTTCTTCCTCTTTGATTTTTCTTTGTTCAATGTCGCCTCTCTCTCTGTAATTTCCTGCCCCCGTGCTTCCCCCTTACAACTTTCTTCTTCTTCTTCTTCCACTTTTCTCTGTTTCTCTTTGTAATGTCCTTCACGCCTGCTTGCCCTTAACACCTTTTCTTCACCCAAATGCGCGTCTCTGTTATGTTTATATTCCTGCGCCATCCCTTTTTTCTAAATCCGTCTCCTTCTCCCAACTATTTAAACTGAACCAGGACCCCCTCTTTCTCTCTTCACCCTTCATTTCCACTGCTTCTCAATAGGCAGAGTTCAATTGCATCCACAGATAAATCATAATCACTACCCTTCTCTTGCCAAGGCCGACCGCATCCACTACGTTTTTTTTCTTTTTTTTGCTTTGGATGCCCTTTTTCTCCCTCTACATCCATTGCAATAATCGCATCCTGAAATTGTTTTCTTGACATACTTCTGCCGTTGAGGGCGCTCTTAGTGAAAAAACAGTTTGGAGAAGCACCTCAAGCAGGGGTCAATATGAAGTTTGGTAAAGAATTCAAGGCACAGATGGTCCCAGAATGGCAGGAAGCGTATATGGACTATGATTATTTGAAGACGGTTTTGAAGGACATCACTCATTTCAAAGAGAGGAGGAAGAATCCAGCACCATCTTCAGGTGGAGCTGTGAATAGGAGGATGACAATGTATAGAGCCTTCAGTGGACTCACCAGACGCTACAGCAACCGCCACCACCAAAACAAAGAAGAGCAGGTTATACTGGTATGCATCTCAATCAAAATTCTGAATCCCTTTACATAGAATACTACGTGGAAATTCGCTATCAGAGAGAGTGTAGTACACTTCATTCAAATCTTCACCTTTGGTTTTGCCTGATTCCATTTGCTTCCTTCTGTTTAGGTCAACAGTCAACGGCAGGATGGGGTGGAAGGACATGAAACAATGTTCCTCAGGTCATTTGATGAAGGTGGTGAATATGAAATGGTTTTCTTTAGAAGGTTGGATGAGGAATTCAACAAGGTCAATCATTTCTACAAGCCCAAGGTCGAAGAGATGGTCAATGAAGCGCACTCCCTAGATAAACAGATGGAAGCGCTGATTGCTTTGAGGATCATCGTCGACAAGCCTGACTTTCTCAATGGATGGACGCCACCACCTCCTGCTGATGCTGCATCCAGACCACCACCACCTCCAGCTAGTGCTCCACTGGGAACTCCCACTCCAGCGAATATCAGAAAGTCAGGTAATATTTTCATTGTGTCAAATTATCGGAGTCTTCTTCAATTCCATTATGACCAAAATTGAGATTTTTTTTCTTCCATGAGTTGAAAACTTTCAGAATCAACATCCACATTTTCTGCAAATGCCTCATCTTGTTGTTATGGAACGTTTTCCAATATCACCTTCTGGTTTTGGTTGAAACAAGGACCCTGTTTCTATGAAACCTGTTCTAATTCAAATCCACAGCTGTTGGCCTTGTGGGTTATAACCATTTTTGGCTCCCAATAAGTTGAGATTAGATTCTGCTCCTTTATGGGTAGGACCCATTTTAGCTCCCAATGTGCTTCTTGAAGTGTACTCCTCCATGTTGGCCATTTTACTTTGGATTATTAAAGTTTGCATTGGGAATAATCAACACTATGTTTGTGTTTCATTAGCAAACTTTTTATCAATCCACTACTGACTTGGATTTTTTTTTTTTGTTTATATTTTCTCTCAAGAGATTCTATTTCATATGGCAGTTTCACTGTTAAGCCTAGTTTTGGTAGGCATCTATTGAGTAGCAAAAGAAAATTTCATCATTATTCAGTCTTTCAGATCTCATTCTAGGTAACAATTTTGGCAGAAAGTATGATGGACCAGCTGTCAGTGATTGTTAGCCCAGGCAGCTTGATAGGTGGCCTTTTTGCCCTTTAAGTACTAGAGAAAGACCGTAGTTTGTTCCTGAATTGTATATTGTGCATTGTGGTATTAATGGATGGCCCTTTATTTTTGGTTTGGCTGCTTAAACTGAACTGCACTCATGGGTGCCCAACTATTTTTTGGATTTTGAAATAATTTTACCATGATCGCTTTTGAAAATAGGATTAATTTGCAAGAATTCCCCATATCTTTATTTGGTGCATTCTTAGTGCAGAGATAGAATGTTATGGTTGTAATGCTCTACCCGTTTTCCATCAAAGGTCCAATTTGTTTCTTTCATAAATCCTGAACCTATGATGATGATTCTTATACAATTCTAAGTGCATTCAATTGCGACAAACTGATTTTCAAATATCATTTCGTTCTAGACTCACAATATATATATATACACACATACTGACAATAACTGCCTTTACAAAATGTGCAGGCCAACTTCATTTGGAGGTAATAAACGAAGTTGAAATGAGTAGTGATATCAGCGACGACCCTAATGCTAACTCAGCTGGACCTAATGTTAGCAACAGAAAAGCTCCTCCAGAAAAGTTGAATGGCTTGGCTTCAGGACCAGCTCCTCTGGATTTGCTTAAGCATGTGAAGATCAATATCACCCCTGAAACTCCACGCTCTACTATACAGAGCTTATTGATGGACCATAACATTAGAGATTTGCAATTAAATAAGAATGAGCTGAGGAAAACAGAAGAGCGATTGAAAAATGCTTTTATTGAATTCCATAGGAAACTCCGAGTTCTAAAAAGTTACTGGTAATGTTTGGAATCTACCCTTATTTTTTGACAGATAACCGAAGATATCTCTGACATTTTCACTTGAACATGCATTGGCTTTTGTCCTTGTCACATTGGATTTCTCTGTTGGTTTTTCAGCTACTCTTCTCTTGCATATCCTTCTTTTAAATCTGATTTTGAATGATTCTTAACTGTGTATGCATCCATCTTATTTCTGCAATTGGCTGTCACAGCTCTCTGAATCTGCTTGCCTTCTCCAAGATCATGAAGAAATATGATAAGGTCGAAACTATCCTTGGTGCTTTTGTATTTTTCCTGGCTGTGCCTTTTTGTTAAAATTTAATAATCATCGTGCATGCTTTTTCCTTTTTTCATAATTCTGCACATTAATCTCCTTAATTGAACCATAAAATATCGTATCACTTTAGCATTTTATAAACCTGTGATATGTTGGATTTGCTTGTCCTTCTACTTCCTCGGCATTCACCTGTAAAAGCATCTGAACTTCTTAGCTAGAGTGTATCTTCATATCTGGATGTCCTTTCTATGGGCATGATCACTTTGGTTGCCTTCTCGTTATTAACTTAGGGAGCACGTAGTTGTGGTGGATGGGACTGCATTTGTTGTTCAAACTAGTGTTCGAGTGTTCGGGCAAGAATGTTTGGACGTGCCCGAGTAACTCGAGCTCGAGTATCCCTGAGTTGGGTGTTCAACTTGGGGATCTTAAAATATTTTTACAAAATATCCAAAAATTAAGGAATTTATTTTGGCCATGAATACTTATTGTTACATTTTCCCTCCTTCTTGGATTATTTCTAAAATACCCCTGGTCGCAAATTGATTTTTTCAAAATTCATTTTCACTAATTTTTTAACCTCATTTAGATGTGTTTTATTTAATTTTACTTTAAACATATTTTCCTTTTTTTTGGGGGGATTTTTTGTACTTTTTATTTTTTAAACACGTTTTTTGCTACTACACTACTCAGTCCAACTTGGGCGAATTAATTCAGACTCTGGCAGGGTACTCGGCTTGGGCCTGGGCCGAACACCCGGCCCGAGTCGCTCTTTCTAACACTGGTTCATACCAGAGTTTCGTAGAAACTCCATTTGTTGTTCATGGCAGATGGGACTGCATTATGGATATAGAATTTCCTCACAAGATTCTGTTTAGGTTAGAAATTCCATTCATTTCGTGTATGTAACTTGTTGCAGTCATTCAAATCAAAAGTAATGGTCTTCAAAGTAGTATGACTTGTTAGGAATCATTGTTATGACTTTAATGTGCCTTTAGCGTTCATCCTTTAGTAATTGCAGGTTAAAGTACATATTATTTTCTGCAGAAAGTGATTTTCTCCCCTTTATGACAGCTATCTGGAAGGCATGCTTCCCGATCTTACTTGGATATGGTGGATAAGTCTTACCTTGGTAGCTCTGAGGAGGTTGGTCTTTATCTTTATTTGAAAATTTTAATTACAAGGATAGATGTTTTATTTTTTATTTCTAATTTGTGTTGCATGAATGACAGGAGTTGCTTCACATTTACATTGATGTTTTCACTAATATTTTCATGCGGTGGTTACATTGCCTGAAATTTTCAGCAGCAATTGTGTAGCCATTTGGTTACTTGTCTAATTGGTTCACATTATTTTCACAGGTAAATAGACTTCTGGAGAGGGTAGAGGCGACCTTCATCAAACACTTTGCTAATTCAAATCGTGTGAAAGGCATGAATGCTCTGCGACCAAAACCCAAAAGACAAAAGCATAGAATAACATTTTTCGTGGGTAAGCTAGCTCTGTTTTGCCCTTTTTTGATGCATGAAGGAGTTTTACATGGATGCCACTTTTCTTTTTCTTGGTACTTACTTGACTTCTGTAAGTATTTTGATCTATGAAGCAATTACTCACCCAAATCATTCACAAAAATTATGTCAAATTCTTTTTCATCCTAAAACCATGTAAAATGAAATCCATTACAAGAGCATTTAATATCCCCTTCATCAGCATGTTTCAATCCTGACAGTTTCAAATAGCAAAAAACTGATTGGCCTAGACTAGGATGGTACTTTTAACATTCCACAGATGCCATAGAACGTTTAAGTTTTCTCAGAATATGAATATGCTTTTATGAAGGAACACACCTTGAGGACTACATAGAGTGCATAATTTTGAAAATAGTGGCCAGAATAAAACGATTACAAAGTACACTAACATGCAACTGATTTAATTTTCTTTTCTCCGTATTTCGCACTTTAACTAATGTTTTTATGAATACGAAGATTTTCTTGCTAAAACCTTTGACAGGTAGTCATGCATTGGTCTTAGTTGTGCTTCACGCCCACTCCAAACGTTAATGAATGATTATTGTTTTTGATTTACTGTAATAGAGTCACCCAATTTGATTTAGATTCATATTTGGCGACAAATATGAGCTTGTTCATGTTATTAGATTTTGTGGATGGCCAAAACTCCTCTTGGGTTTGTCTCATCTTTATTTTAAATCAAGCTTTGGCAGATCCTACATCTGGGTATCACAGCAAAGCATTAGGGAGGTCAACCCGCCCATTTTTCTGTCTTTCAAGGGCAGTATATGCAGTATGACTTTGACAGACTTCCCAATTTGTACCATGTGATCCTGCAGAAGCACATGTTTTAATCAGTGTTATATGACTTTCTCCTCCACTCATATGGGTCCTTTGAGAATTGGATGACCCTGTGCATATGTGCTGAGTAAGCCCTGGAACTATGACCGGAGGTTTTTCATGTGAAATACCTTTATGGATGGATTGTGGGGTGTTTCATGCATTGTCAAACATTTGTCTCCTTGATTAAGCTTGACTTGAGCCTTCTATACAGTAATGATACGGACCTAACATGGAAATTCTTATTGTTTTAGTTAAAGATTCCTTCAAACATTAGAAAATACTTGTACCTTTATTCCAAGAAAAGCATGGCAGCATGTTGCTTTGGAGGATAATATTTCACTCTTGTGTGACTAAAGCATTTTATTATTCTATATATTGTAGGTTCTGATACTTCTGTGTTTACCTGCATCCTCTATATTTCAAATCAATGAAACAAAGTTCCTTGAAGTTATTCTCATGTAGAACATGTTAGATTATTGAGATTCTTAAGCTTGATTGACTAGTCTGCCTGGAGGCTTCTTAGAGATTCAAGTACATGAAGAACCAATAAAAAATTTTACATAAACAGTCCGTAACTTCAGCATTATATGTGATATTCCTTATACTCTAGTGGTATGGAACTCTTTTCTGTAAACATTTGTTGAAGGTCTTAAATCCACATTTACTTATAATAAAAAGAGTATTTGAGAAGAATTTTGGTATTTATATATATTTTTTGATAACCTAATCAGAGTTCATAATTCTTATTTTAGTATTCTACGAAATTTTTTTAGCTTCATGTTGTAAGATCACGTCCTTATATGGAATGGCCCCTATCAACTTCAAGCAGTTCTAATTTTTTTATTTTACTTTGACCTTTGAATCTAACCACTTCTTTGGCAATTTTCAGGGCTCTTCGCTGGTTGCTCTGTGGCTCTCATATTAACGATTGGTATATTGATCCGAGTTAGGCAGCTTCCTAACGAAGTGGGCAGTACTCAGTACATGGCTGTCATCTTTCCCCTTTATAGGTAACTTTTGAAGTTTGCCTGCTCAAGGGATTGGACTATTTATTTATAAATACAATAAAATGCAATACTCATAATAAAGGGTATTGGATTTCGCTTGTATTCCTTTGGTAAGAGTGCGTGGTTCTTTGTAATTAAGGTTTCTCCCTTTTTCGTTTTTTTTGGGGGCAAAATTAAACTGTTTTATTCCACCATTCTACAGCAAAAATTTCTAGAACCTTGACCAAACTACCACACAATAAGATCACTCAGATTTGCACTAAAAGCAGGCCATCTAGTTTGCCATGATGTAAGATGGAAATTCACAAACTATTTTATCAAATTTAGTCATTACGATCAATATGCAATATTTCAGTTGAACAATGTGTGAAGCATAGCATTGATTCAAGATTTACGGTGATGGGTTCATGTTTGTTGTTTAATGTTATCTTATCTGTTGGTGCTCCAGAAAACTGCATTTGCTATCTTGAGGATATTATAGAACCTGGATTGCAATGTTATTCACAATAAGCTAGCTCGTTATTCTTGAGTCGGATGGACCTCTATTGGAAGCAAATTATGATTTACTCGCTGCAAAAAAAAAAAACGAAAGTCTGTAAGCTCATTTATGAGTTTCGGTGTCCCTATGGTCAATTTTAGCTGAATTGGTTGGTTTGCAGAAGCAGTTTTTTTGTTTTTGTGGTTGTCTTGCATGTTTTCCTTGTGTCAGTTGCTGACTAGTGAATAAAAACTTCTTTCCAAGTTGGAAAAACTTGCCACGCCAACTTGACTCCACCAGTGCGCAAGTTGTTCAATGGAAGACTCCAGATGTTCCCAAGGTTTTTTTGGTTTGCATAATTTTGTTGATTTCACCAACAAATGGTCAATTCTAGGCTGATAACATTGTGGTATGCTTGGTTGACAAGTTAGGTTTGATTCCAATACTTGATACTTCATTTTTCTTGAAATTTTCGCACGAAATTATGGAAAGCTTGCTGTGTTGTTCTGAGTTTACTATTTGACTTAGGAGCTGACTCAGATTTGGCAGCAAATGAGTTGGCCCCCAAGTTCAAGTTTTTAAACACTTAAAGCTGTGATAGACATCCTGCTTGTGGTTCTCATCATCTTACCATGTATTACTCTTGACTTACAAGATATCAAAACTCTTTGCAGCTTATTTCTGTACATTGTTCTACACATGTTGATGTATGCTGCAAATATCTACTTCTGGAAGCGTTATCGTGTCAATTATCCTTTTATATTTGGATTTAAGCAAGGAACAGAGTTGGGCTATATAGAAGTCCTGCTTCTTAGTTCTGGTCTTTCTGTACTTGCACTAGCAAGTGTCATCTCCAACTTGGACATGGAGATGGACCCCAAGACAAAAAGCTTTGAAACATTGACAGAACTGGTCCCTCTTGGTTTGACAACGGTATGATTCTTTCAGGCAACTGCTTTTTCTTAGTATGTGGATGCTACATGTTGAGTGAATGGATGTTGTTAAGCTATATGCCAAATTGCTAGGTTTTAAGTTACTTCCTTCTAGCATGGTCCTTTAATGAATGTGACAGCAATGGAATACTTCAGAAAATAATGTGAAAGTTGGATTTCTGACATCTTGTCTTTCGATGCAGCTGGTTCTCCTTATATTATTATGCCCTTTCAACATTATTTATCGTTCAAGTCGCTTCTTCCTACTTCAATGTGCATTTCATTGCATTTGTGCTCCTTTCTATAAGGTGAGCAATAAATCACAATGTAGGAAAAAATAGCAACAGAGAAATTAAAAAACATCTTTTTGACTATTAAAATAACTTATTAATTCCTTTTGCATGCACAGGTCATACTTCCTGATTTTTTCCTCGCAGATCAGCTAACAAGCCAGGTCTGCTATCATGAACTCTAGATTGTTGTATTTTTCCCTTGAATATATTTCAAATTCTTTGCATGTCAATTTCCATATTGAAATAGGCATGGTGATAATCCAGTAGCTTTTGATAAATCGAAGTGCTAATTCCGTGATGAGTTGACCCATTGATGGTGCAGACAATGTTAAAAAAAACGGATTTGGGTGCCTGGCTGCCTAGGCGGGCGCCCAGGGACAGGATGCCCTCACCAAAATCAAACCCCCACCCCCCCCCCCCAAATATAAGACACTAAGTATTACTTATAACTGAATATATAATACATTTTAAGACTTTAGTTTCACTTTCACATAAGACTTAACCCATTAAGATATCACATAATCAATTATTTATCAAATAAACTAAAACAAAAAAAATAGAATATCAAAATAAGACACATTATAAAACAAAGGAATCAATTATTGATAAAAGAATGCGATATATGCTCAATTTCATTGTCCAAGTGAGAAAAAATCAGTCTTTTAACTACAAACATATAAATATATTGTAAAAGAAAAAAAAAAAAAAAAGACTCATGATTCATGACATAATATGTTGTGACAAAATAAAATCAAAACCCTCTTTCAAATATGATAATACTTTAAAAATATCAAAATCAAATCGACGTTGTTGCAAACCTCGTTTATTGGGTCGCCAAAAGTTCTCAAAACCAACTTTTAGAAGCTCCAAATCCACCCACGAACTATTGCCTTCGTTTTGAGAAGAAATTGAAAGAATAAAAAATTTATCGATCTTTCAATAAATCACAAAAGAGTGGTTTTTGAGAGGTTTTTCTCGCCCTAAAGGCCACAGATTTTCTATTGGGGGTTTAGAATACCCCCTAAAACCCATTTCTCCCTTTTCAGGGGAAAAGTTTTTACATATTTTACCCTCACCCAAGGGTTTTTTTCCGCCGCCCGCAAGTTGTCATGGGCCGGCGCCTAGGCCGGCGCTCAGACAATAGCGCCTAGGTGGCGCCTTGACTGCCTAGGTGGGCGCCCAGAAGCAAAAACGCATAATGCCTCCGCCTAGACCGCGCCTAGGTGTTTTTTAAATTTTTTCACCTTGCGGCCACCTAGGTGGTCTGGCGGCCGAATTTTCGAACATTGGATGTGGACATTTGTGTGGTTCCGTATTCCGCTCTGTGTTTACAACACTTCCTTATCAACTAGCATGTGATAATATCCTTATTTTTTCTTATATAACTACAAATGAATTTCTCAAATAGGTTGTATTTGATGGAAATCATGAAAGCATTTGATAAAGTGTCAACCTACTTGTGGTTCTTGACTCGAGTTTGTTTGGATTGATTTCAGGTACACGCCATTAGGGGTTTATTAGGATATGTTTGTTACTATGGTTGGGGAGACTTCAAGCGTAGAGTAAATGGTTGTAGCAGCAGTAGTGTATATACGAGCTTCTTTTTCATTGTAGCAGTGATTCCATATTGGAGCCGTTTTCTGCAGGTAAATTTAGTGAACATTCTTTATCTCAAAGACATGTAATCATTATATTTTCTTGTTGACATGAATTTAAATCCCTATGAGGTCTTAGCATAATTTACTCATCGTAAAACCATGGTTATGTCAACAGGCAAAGAATGTGCTTATTGTGTGATTCAATTTTATCATGTACATGTGAGATTATACTACCATGTGTAGAAGATTCAATGTTCATTGTCATAGTCACTTGTTCTGTTAAAAAAAAAAAAATCTGAAATCAATTATGTGAGCATTAACAAATATCAGATTTTCTCGAGGACAAGTCAATTTTAGGACTTAGTTGCAATTTCATGGAGTTGTGAGGTTATGGACTTTTTGCTTCCATAGTTAGTCTTTTGTCTCCTTTTTGATGATATCATGATCATTCTTGCTTTGGGTGTAATGGCAAGAACTTTTCTTACTTGCAAGATTCTAGTATCCTTTTTTTTTTAATTATTATTTTATTGAAGTTGTGTTTCTTTATTTTGTCCTTTTAGACTTGAACTTGAGAAATTTCAATTTGTAGCTATAGCAATGCATGTAACTTTTCCATTACTCATTTAATACAACACAATTCCATTCTAAAAAAAATTCATCTTGAAGCTACAATATCTGAGTGAGAAAAATGGGTATCAGTTACATTTGCCTCGTGTGTAGTTCTTCAATATGAAAAATGCTTACTGAATTGTCATGTCCTAGAGTTTATGGAAATGTAACCCTGGTGTTTTTCTCTTTTCGTTTTTGATTGATAGTTTTATCCTGATAGTTATCAGCATCCAGCATAACGATCATGCGTCAAGATATATTCATTGTTAATTTGAATGTAGTGTTATTGTTATATATATCTCAAGTGTTGAGGCTTAACACTTTTTGCAAATAAAGCATGCATTGTTATCAAGATGTTATGATGGTTGACAGTACCTGTTCACCCAATAACCTTAAACAAGTTGGTTAACAAATAGCTGTTCACTATTGCCCCAGTTCAAATCCTATAGCTAAACTTCCCCCCTCCCCCCACAACAAACAACAAAAAAAAGAAGAAGAATGAAATCCTTTAATTGTTCTTTTACCAAAATTCCCAACAATCTTACTATTTGTATTGTAGATTTTCTTTTATGAACCCCCCCCCCCCACAAACAACAAAAAAAAGAAGAAGAAGAAAATCCTTTAATTGTTTTTTTACCAAAATTCTCAACAATCTTACTATTTGTATTGTAAATTTTCTTTTATGACTGTGTTTTGTCTATGAACAGTTTCTCTGAGGAGTTTGTTACCTTCTCATTTGTGATATTTTTCCAAAGTCACGTGGCCCAAATTGTGATAGGTGTGTTGGTGTTGCAGTGTCTCCGCCGTCTGTATGAAGAAAAAGATCCTATGCAAGGATATAATGCGATCAAGTATTTCTCAACAATCGTTGCTCTTGTACTGAGGACTAGTTTAAGCGTTCAGAAACGTGAGCATTGGAGGATCCTGGCTGTAGTATCATCGGTTGTTGCCACTCTTCTTGGCACATATTGGGATCTCGTCATAGACTGGGGACTTTTGCAACCCAATTCCGAGAACCCGTGGTTGCGAGACAAACTCCTAATTCCTCAAAAAAATGTGTACTTCATAGCTATGGTAAGAAGAAGAAATGCATCTCATTGTTCCTTGAAGTATGTGCTAAATACACTGAATAACAGAAATCTGCATGGATGTTATAATGTATTGGAGTAGCTATATTAGGCCACTTGATTTAGATTAAAATTTCTCTCTTTCCACCATTGGCACAGGTTCTAAATGTCATCCTGAGACTAGCTTGGTTACAGACAGTTTTGGGTTTCGAGATACAGGGAATCCATTTCACGGCTTTGACGGCAATTGTGGCATGCCTGGAGATCATTCGACGTGGCATATGGAATTTCTTCAGGTTTAATCTCTCAACTTTCTTTGAGCTATATGAATATCCTGGACTATTGAACTATATGTAACTGGGGACTGGAGCGTGTAGCCCTTAGCTTCATGGTCTACCAGATGTTTTTACTCAGTAGTTGTATGCATTTTAAACTACTGCAATTAAAACGGGGAAATTTTGATAATAAAACTGCAACTTGCTCGCACATAAAGGCACACACTTGCACAGAACATGCAAACAGGCACATAGGTTTCAGCTTTTTGCATATCATTCATTGGGTTGATTATTCACCCCCTCTGTTCCCTTAACTCCTTGGACTTGCTGTATTGATTGGATTAGGTTAGAGAATGAGCACTTGAACAATGTCGGCAAGTACCGCGCATTCAAGTCTGTGCCTCTCCCTTTTCAATACGAAGAAGATGACCATGAGGACTAAAAGATTTTCAGTTCAAGAGAAAATGGTGCAGGCTGAATAAACACTCTTTTCGCTGACCCCTCTTGGCAAGTACCGTGCATGCAAGTCTGTGCCGGTCCGTTTCGAATATGAAGAAGATGACCATGAGACTAAGAGATTTTCAGTTCAGGAGAAAATGGTGCAAGCTGAAGACACTCTTTTTGCTGACCCCTCTTGTAGATTGGAGTCAACGAACCCCCTGATTATGCAATTTTCAGTGTAATTTATTGTCGGCTTTGTTCCGGTCTGTAAATAGGATATTCTGTGCAGTTTTTCTTCAGAGTGTTGATTCGTTTGTGTCTTCATTCTGTTGTTTATTTACTTTCTTTGTCAGTTCTTCCCCATGAAGGGATTTTCTGTAATTTGAAGTAGTTTATGCGAGTATTTGTTTTATTCCCTTGTTAATTTGTTCATGTTTATCTGATTCACATCAATGTGTCATTCTTTCCTCTATGGCTTTTTATTTCTCTTTCTTCTAAACTTTTGGTTGGAGACTCTTGCGCAGTTAATGCATTGATACAGGTCCTACTGAAATGGCTTACCATCCAAAGGGTTGAAAATAAAGAACACAAAGTTGATTTGGTTCATGGGGCCACAATGTCTTGTGCCTTTGGAATCAGCAAATTCTTGTGGAATTGTATACAATTACTCAATGGGACCATTAACTTTCACACACAAAGGTATGAAACACCCCAAGGTGGCCGATGTAAAATTGGACGGCTGTGGTGTGCCATTTCTTTATACAAAATTTTCTCAGATGTCAAGCACAATCGATGACACGCTTAGGAAGCGAATTTCTCAGCTAAAGCCTTATGTGAAATTATTTGACAGCTAAAAGTGCTCATGACCTTTCAATAGTGCAATTCTTATTTCCAAAAGTTGGATGATTCCTAATTACAAGATATCATATATTGGGCACTAGGGATTGCTACTTGAACATATATATTTGCTATATTCGCAAATGCACAGGGTACATAACCAGGGACATGTTTAGGCTCGACACGGAAGAATCATGGATATGTTAAGGCTTTGCACGAATTCACTATTCTATGATATCAACGGCCACAGATTCAAGATTTATGAAAAAATGTGGTAAAGTTTGATGCTGGCTGCCCTTCTTAACGGAATCCTTCTCTTTTATTTGGGCTTGGGACCAACCATCATGGAATTAATATTGGGCATTAAAATAAAAATCTGAAATTAGTTATGTTGAGGATAAAAAAATAAAAGGATGGGGTTTTTATGTGTGGGTTGACGTTGTAGATGTGCGCCATGGATCTCAAATCCATCTAAGATATGAATTTGGGATCCAAAGATTGAATTGTCCGTAATCCATTCTATAGTGATCATGAATACTAAAAAGTTGATAATAATAAATTCTAAAAAGTCGATAATAATAAATTCTGAATTGAGAAGTGATTTTTTTAAAAGAAAAATTGTTACACCCTTTATTTAGACTTCGGACAAGTCCTTTATCATTATTATTATTATTATAATTATTATTATTTTACGTCCTACTTAAAGCTGGATGTTAAATGGTCATGCACCTCCCTTACTCATACAACACTTTTTCCAAAATAAAAGAAAAAATGTTACACCCTTTATTTAGACTTTGGACAAGTCCTTTATTATTATTATTATTATTATTATTATTATTATTATTATTATTATTATTATTATTATTATTATTGTTATTTTACGTCCTACTTAAAGCTGGATGTCAAATGATCATGCACCTCCCTTACTCATACAACACTTTTCCAAAATAAAATAAAAATAATAATATTGAGCATTAAGATTGAATAACAAAAATTATTCGTATGAAAGAAAAAAATAAATAAAGACCTTAAATTAATAATAATGAGTACTAAAAATAAAAACCAACAATTAGTTATATCAAAGATTAAAGTCATGTAAGTGACAAATACCTGGAGCAAGTTTTACGAACGTACCGGAGTGAGAGCGGGCAAACAAGACCCTTATTAATCCCTTTAACCATATACACACGTTTGGAAAAATTTCTAAGTAAGGCCTCAGCCTTATACCATAGAAGTAAGGTGAATCTCCTCCATTTGAAAATGGTGTTTTAATGTCGGAAAAATCTTACAATTAATCATTTCGAAATTGAGAAGTATGGATATAGAAAAAGAAAAAGATTTCAAGTCCAAAAAATATATATCATGTAACATATTATTAAAACAGTTTATTTTGAAAAAAAATTATCTTGATCCGTACAAATTTTGGAGCTTTAAAATCTATAATCAAGAGTAAAAATAGATTTTATAAATTTTTTTGTTTTTTTTTTTTAATAATATCATAGAACTTTTAGTAATATCATGGAGAAATACAATTCAATTACACAAATCTATCAAATCCACACCCCTACGCGCCAAATTGTCAGCGAAGGCATTTGCTTCATGATATACGGTTGAAGGACACTGGGAAAGAATTGCAGAGATCCATAACCTCCAGCCAAAAGGACTTTAGTCGCCATGGAGGTCTTGAAACCTTTGTGCACCAATTGATTACATTTTGTTGGTCTCCTTCCATAATACAAGCAGTTTGTAATTGCCTCTAATGAATCGATTTTAGACTACAAGCAGTTGTTAATTACCTCTGATGAATCAATTTTAGGCTTTGAAGCATAGCATACAACTCTGCTTGATTTGCCGATAACCAGCCATAGGGACTAGCATAGGACAAAATTATAATAAGAAAAAACCTATATAAGGTTCCAACGAATTTTAGATTCTATAATCCAAAGTGAAAATAGGTAAATATAAGAAAAAAATTATATAAGATTCCAACCTTGTACTATAGAAATAAATTACATCTTAAAAATCGCTGTTGTGAAGTTGGAAAGCAAGATAATTGATCATCTCAATTTATTCTTTTTTTTGGGTATGAAGTTGGGTATGACGAGCCTCTATTCATTTATTCTTTTTTTTTTTTATTACGAACCCCCTGTCCATTTTTGAAACCCAAATTTCAATTTATTTATTTTTGAGTAATTAAGTAAGGTACCTTTTTTTTTTTGCTTTCTTTAGTAATTTAATGGTTTTTTTTATTTAGAGTAACCGAGTGAGATGACAAGCCCCTCCCTGCGCCATTTATGATATCGGTGAGTGGTTTTTAAATGCCTTGGGATTAGATCTGGGGGTGATACCACCTAGACCCCAACCCCATTCTCATCATCATCTACGATTGAGAGGTCATCGAACCCGAACCCAGACCCAGACCCAGACCCAGACCCATGTTTGAGAGTTGGCATAGCACCAAATGAAATGTTCGGTTGGCCTATAATCCATTTTCTTATCGCTGCGTCTCTCTCTCTCTCTCTCTCTCTCTCTGTAGCAGACAGTGCTACCCCCACGTTTACATTTTTAATTTCGCTTAAACTGCATTTCTAAATACAAACAAACAAACCTTTCATGGCGACGCCATTCAATTCCATTGCATCTCGACTCCTCCTAACTTCTTACCAGAAAGAAAGAGAGAGTTATCGCATAATTTGATGGATATGAAGAGGTTTCGGAGGCATTTCTCTGAAACAGGCGGAGACTTAATCAGCAGCACAGATCCAGCAACGATGTCAAGAGAGAGGAAAGTATTAGGAGGAGGAGGGGTGAAAATTGTGAGAGTGATAGGGATATGCATCTTGGGTTGCCTCATAATTTTACCTCTCCTTTTTACCATCTCTCTTCTTTTCCAGGATCATCCACCTCCTACAAAACAGTGGGTTTCAGACGTGAATGAGGAGGAACGCATCACTTCTCTCCGGAAAGATGATGATGAGGAGGAGGGTTTTTGGAAAAACAATTTTGGAGGAAAGCAAGGGAAAGCAGGAGGGAAGAGGAGATTCCATGGACACACCCAAGAAGAAGAAAAAACAGGTGCCTCTTTTATTAGGTTTCCTCGAAAATCATTGCCCCTCTTTTCCAGGAAAAAAAGAAAATCTGGTTTGTTTCCACCATTACCTTGGAAACCAGTTTTTCTCTTGTAGACCTGAACGCTTAAAAAAGGAGGCTTTTTTCCATGCTTCTTGAGTGAGATCTGGTGCTATGAGCTATCTCGCTGTTTGCAAAGTTCACATCACACGGAACCAAATTGGGTCCTGATTCTGTCTTTTCCTTTGTGTTATCAAGCTAATTTATCATCTTCATATGGATCAGAACAAATTCAGTCGGTTACGACCTTGTTAAGTCATTCTACATGCAAATCTTGCTTGAAATTAGTCTTTCTCTGCTTCAGTAACTTCATACTGGTCTGTCCAGTATCCTGCTTTGATGTTGAGTTACTTGGTACTGATAATCCTGAAGCTTATCAATCGACATTGATTATCTTTCTTGGTTCTAAAGATAGTTGTCAATTTGTCATAATGCCTGCAAAAAGAAAATGCGATGAGAAGATGACATGTGACCTCTCTCTCTTAAGCGGCATATTTCCTGAAAGCTCTGTTTCAATTATAATGACCTCCAAGAAAGCTACTATCTTTGGTTTTAGGAATGATCTAGTTGCTAGAGCATGCAATAATGGATCAACAAAAATACGTTCAATTTGTAGCTGTAAATTTTGTTGAAAAGTGGCCTGGTATCTCGGAAAGACAGCTCGTTGTCAAGAAAGAAATCTTAACAAATGCAGCTGAACTTGCACAGTCTCAAAGTAATGTTACCAATTTATCACATGGTGAAATTCATATATTAAGTTAATCTTTTACTCTTTTTCTTTATCAGTAAAAATGTTCAGCAGTTTATGGCTTTCAGTGTCACTTAATTTTACTAATTAATGATAAAAGTATGTCTTTGAATTTGAGTGCCCCTCAATGCTGTGCTCTATGTTGATCGATTTCCCTTTCCTCTGAAATTTGTGAGCTGCATATTTGGAAAATATCATGCTCCTTATTGTTCTTTCCTTCTTTATTCTCTCCATGTTTTTCAGTTCCTGAAGATGGGTTGTCTATGGAAGCACAAAAATCCGAGGACAGACTGCTAGGTGGGCTGCTTGCTGCTAACTTTGATGAAGGAACTTGCCTTAGCAGGTACCAATCTTCATCCTATCGGAAACTGTCACCTCACAAACCTTCATCCTACCTCATTGGCAAAATCAGGAAATATGAAGCCCTCTATAAACAATGTGGTCCAGATACTGAATCATACAATGAAGCTATTACCCAACTCAAGCGGGGGCAACAAATTCGAAGCTCCAGTTGCAAATACTTGGTATGGATTTCATATAGTGGTTTAGGAAACAGGATAGTGACTCTGGCCGCCACATTTTTGTACGCTCTCCTCACTGACAGGGTCTTGCTTATAGACAGAGGAACTGACATGGGTGACCTCTTCTGTGAGCCATTCCCCGAGAAGTCATGGCTGCTGCCACTTGATTTTCCTCTGAACCAGTTTGACAACTTCCATGTAAAATCACCTGAGAGATATGGTCTTATGTTGAGAGACGAGATCATCAATGAAAATGGCACTTCAAGTGGGTCCTTTCCTGCTTTTGTGTATCTCCATCTAGCCCATGACTATGACAAAGGTGACAAGTTGTTCTTTTGTGATCGCGAGCAACTCATCCTCGACGGAATACCATGGCTTCTCTTAAGGTCCGATAACTATTTCGTGCCGTCCCTGTTCCTTGTCCCGAAATTCAGTGAAGAGTTGGAGAAATTGTTCCCTGAGAAAGTCACAGTTTTCCACCACCTCGGTCGTTACCTTTTCCATCCTTCAAATACAGTGTGGGGCTTGATCACTAGGTTCTATCGAGCTTATCTAGCCAACGCAGAGGAAAGAGTAGGCATCCAGATTAGAACGTTTGACACTGGGGTTGGCCCTTTCCAGCATGTTTTGGATCAGATTCTTGCGTGTGCCTTGAATGAGAAATTGCTTCCTGCGGTTTCTCGCGACAAACCTATCATCCCTCCACAACAAACGGGTAAAACAGATAGGAAACCGAAGGTTGTTTTGATGACCTCTCTCAGTGGAGGTTACTATGAAAGGATCAGAAATATGTACTGGGAATACCCAACAGTGACTGGTGAGGTTATAAGTATTTATCAGCCCAGCCATGAGGAACATCAGCAAACAGAGAAGCAGTTCCATAACATGAAGGCATGGGCAGAGATGTATCTCCTGAGCTTGAGTGACACATTGATAACGAGCCCGTGGTCAACCTTTGGTTATGTGGCTCAGGGCCTTGGGGGCTTACGGCCATGGATTATGGTCAAACCTGTGAACCATACTACACCCAACCCAGCTTGCGGTCGGGCTATCTCAATGGAGCCCTGTTTCCATGCCCCTCCTTTTTATGATTGCAAAGCTAAAAGAGGTATCGATACTGGGAAACTTGTTCCTCATGTAAGACACTGTGAAGATATGAGCTGGGGCCTCAAGCTTGTCGGCGAGAACTAGTAGCAGGCAGTAAATGCCCTGCATTTGGGGTATTTTGGTGGTTGTACTTTTACCCAGGCTCAGTATTCTTGCTTTACAGAAGGTTTCATATTGTCATGTATTCAACCAGTGCAGGAAAAGCATGGGTATTAGAAATTTTGGCCTCCAAGATTGGGTTCTCTTGTGGATCCCATTTCATTTTGCAGATGTTCACAAAGCGTGTATCTTTGGCCCTTTATCTGGTGAGTTCGGAAGCACAAGGCATCATTGTAGGAAGTCGAATCCTTCATTTGTAATGTTGGCTGATGTTGATTGACTTGGTTTGAAGCTTTCGTTTAATTATTATGCCTGGTGAGCAATGCTATCTCAACTGGACTGGGCCACCACTTGAAATCAAAGGCAACTTTTAAGCAGTCCTCAGTGATATCCTGGACCTAGCAACCAACCTGCCTGCATTTTTTCTTTTTATGTAATCACGCTGCGATTCTTAAGTGGATCCCCAAATATCAAAGAGAGAAATCTATGTGACTGCATCTTTTCTTTTGTCCAAGAGAGTGAGTCTTGTATGATATTGCTCCACTCTGAATTCCACGCCCAACAAAACCAAGAGAGCTAAGCTCCATTAAGGTGCTTTGGTTTCTTGTGAGGTGTTTGTAGTTTAAAAGTTCTAGTTACTTCTTTTTTTAAGGAAAATGTTTTGACAGGGCTGCAGCCCTATATAAAAAAAAGTAAAGCCTTACCTTAAAACTCACCGAAAATTGTAATTCTGGTGGCGGAAGACCTTCAAATCAGTCATCGCTATAGTTGTCGTAACAAATTCGGATTTCAAGCCCTAAAAATAGCGTATATTGTAACACAGTATCTAAAATGTCTATTTTGCCCCAAAATTAAGTAAGTGTTCATGGATCTACAAGATCTGTACTATTCTTTGAGTTTCAATTTTCTTTTGACCAATGATGGAAATTAATTCTAGAGCCATCACGGAGATTTCCGATGCTTAAAGTACTTTCCGGATGAGGATATGAGGTGAGGTGTTACTTTATTTTTCTAAAGCCTATGCTTTTAGAAACTGCATCTTTTTTAAGTAAAAAGTTTATATAAGGTTGCAACCTTAAAAATGTAGAATTAAAGGTGAACCTCAAAAATTCATCATAAAAGGATGTTTGGATGTTGGAAAACCCTTTAATTGATTATCGCAACATCGAGATGTATGAATATGAAAAAAACAAATATATTTCAAGGTGGCAGGATAAAAGACTGTGGTCAATTGTAATAAAAAAAAAAAAAAAGAGTAAATGACTATAGAATTAATTTCCAGAGCCACTCACTTTTCACATGGTTTTAAAAGTTAACTATTTCATATAGTTTTAAAAGTTAAAACCATATGAAATATGGCAACCAGAGTCACTATCCTATTTATAGAGCATAGAGAAAGAGGGTAATACACTTAAATCCAGTGAAAATCTCTCTCTCTAAAGATCATGGTTTTGAGCATCATTGTCTCAAATTAAATGGTTTTTTGGTGTTTCTCGACAAAGTTGGGTCCATATTTCCTGTTTAATATTAATTATTTATTTTGCATTATTATTAGGATGGATTAGCGTTTTATTATGCAAACAAAAAAGTTCTAAAAAAAAAAAGGGTAATGCGAATTGGTTCTGAGGGGGCATTCCGAGAATTGAACTCGGGACCTCTCGCACCCTAAGCGAGAATCATACCACTAGACCAAATGCCCATTTGATGATGGTGGATAAATAATTAATAATTAATTTACTTATTTTTCCTTTTTCCCTCCATCGAGTTCTGAAAATTGGACAAGTAAACTGAGGCCTTCCAAAAATCCAATTCAGATCAACAAAACGAATCGAACTATTTTCTCGTGTAAGAATCAGCCCAAAAAAACCAAAAATTGAAAAATAAAGAGAATATATGATAGGTGGGAAGTGGGCGATTCGGCCAGTTGGGATCAGCTCATTCTTTGGCACACTTTGAGTTGGATCAATTCCTAATTTCGATTAAAAAATGATTTTGATCCGGACCACCATTTTTAAAATTTAACAAACGAAACGAATGAATACTTTGTTAAAACGTGAGAATATTTGAACCCTCTCTCTTATATTCAAGGATTACATGCATGGATACGCATGCCAAATGTTTTTGGCACACATCGCATGCCTGCCACCAAGGATGCAGCACATGTTGAACCCGAAAACTAACCTACGCTCACCTAAATTCCACCTCCCGTGTTATCCAAATTTCTTCATCATAACATATTTTAAGATTAGTATTTCTGATACATCCGTGTATTCCAAACCATATTTACAATTCATTCATTTTTAAGGCAACATTAGCACTATTTTTTTAGCTTCATCAAGTGTTAACAATGGTACTAAAATTGTATATGATAGGAACCATCACACAAATGCCCATCTAGAAACGACGACGAAGGAGACCTTTTTTTTTTTGCAGTCAGATCCCTAGCAGTCTTTCCTCGTCTGATGCCAGAAATCTTTGTGATTCCAGGCGAATCAATATTTACTAAACAGTGTTGATCCATGAACTCTTGAAATATACAGTCCAGAAAACATGTTACACAACAAATAATTTCCAGAGGTGCCAATTCAATTATCAAATTATGAATAATATGTTCATGAAGTTAAAAAAAAATTCATTTTTTTTTTCATGTCTAAATTTATAGAGTGAGATCCACGGAGGTAAGATTGGTTTTAGGCAACGGAAAAGAACGGGAAGGGAAAATTTTGTAAAATAAAAAGATCAATTTTGTAAAAAAAAAAAAAAAAGCACAACTAGAGGGCTAACCGTCCAAAATTTTAAATTTTAAGGGGATTTTGGTGAACTCAAAAGGCTACTTGGGATAAAAGTTTCAGGGAAGGAGGTAAAAGTCATTTTTCCTAAAAAATAATAGGCTGAGTCATGCCCATCCTGAGCCCTACTCAACCTGATTATGTTCCTACTAGACCTAGATATGACCAAACCTAGCTCTCGAGTCCATACTTTTCTACCTAGATCCAACTCACCAGTTTTGTGGTTAAGAGAAAACTCGGTTTGCTTTAGCGGATAAATATATATATGGCATTTCATGAGATGTTACTTGCAACATCCAACATCTAACCAGTCAAGGGTATGGTTCTTATTTGTAGAAGTAAAGTTGTGACATTGGACATTGTCTAAGTTTAATTGAATTATGTAGATTTGATACATCTTTTAGGACAATGTTAAAAAGTAACAAATTTTTAAGATAATATGAATCTACACCATCCTAATAAAAATAGTGTTGATTATTGCAAGCTTACTTCTACAAATAAAATTGCAATTTTATATAAACTTTTGTCTGGCCCGGATAGATAACAGCCAAGTCTTTTCATGTACCTTATGCTGGTGTAAGTCTCCCGGAAGTCCAAAAGAGTCAGAATGTCGTCACAAAACCTTTTTTGTTATATTTTCAATGTTTGTTATCCTTTGGCTTAGTTATAAATATAAAACTTTTGATGAAAAACTCTTTGGAGTTTGTCCCGAATAATCAAACTACTCTTTCTATTGTTTATATTTTCAGACCATGTTAAGAATAAGTACATGTCGTTCTAGCTCTTTCTTTGTGTTTATATTTTCAGACCAAGTTTGGTAGGTGTTTTGCTTTAGAAAAATATTAATTTTTCTGTCAAGGAAGAAAGAAAGAGTGGCCCATATGGACCATGCAACACGTTTGAGCACAAGTGCATTTGAGGCGTACTTTGCATTTCATAAGCTCGCACTGGTTCGGACCAAACTAGTGCAAGACCGAGTGAACAATAGTTTAATGAAGTAGTTTAGCCACACGACGCGCGTCATCAATCTAAGCAACACAAGTGTCCATGTATTTGCAACATACTTGTCAGGAAACCAATTATACCCAAAGTCACGCTTAGTCAATTCTATTGAAAAGTTTAAATTATACAGGGTAGAAACCATCACAAAAGAGGTCTACAAACAACTATGAAGCTCTCAATATGTTTTCTAGAGATCCCTTGCAGTATATCATCCTCTGATGACCGCTTTCAATTGTTTTCGATACTCGTGGATCACCCTTTCCTGTTCAATCAGTTCTCCCTGCCTTCAGATAGTATTATGTGATATCCATGCCTGCAAAAATTTGCACATATATGAACTAATTAGACAAGAAAGATTCTCCATGCAAGTAAAAGACAATTTCATTGATGCTTTAGCTAAATTTGGACTCTGAATCTAAATCAACCAAGATCACTTCATTAGTTTCTATTCTAAAATTAGCCGTTTGACATGAAAATAACTGAGCAACTAAATCAAGTGTCATGTGTATCAGAGAACTACGGATTTCCCTACCCCATTGACCCACCCAAAATGGTATTTAAGAAAGACAATATAAACCAGTGGAAATAAAAACTTCTATAAGCCAACAGGCTTATACCAACAGTACAAGCCTATCTCCAAGCAGATAGCTATAGAGGGATTTTTTATTGGGACGAAATTTTGCACAACTTTGATTTGAAAAATAATTTGTTGAAGTAATAAGTATTTTCAGTTCATGAAAGCCTAGATCCACTAGCCACCAAATAGATAGCTTGCATTTACCCAAAATGGCACTCATTTTCCCCCTTTATTTGGTGGCGTTCATTTTTTTCTTCCATTCACCTCGACGAGATCTATATGCGTGAAAAATTTGGGATCCATGGACATTTACATTTCAATCCCTAAACTATATACCTGCCTATGTATTGTTCTATGTCCGTGATGAGATAATCCCACAAGGCTACAAAATTTGTCAGTTGTCAACTGCTTCAAGTTTTTTTCTTTTTTTTTTTTGAATATGTCAACTGTTTGTCAACTGCCTAAAGTTATGTGCATTTCCAGCGACAAAGATATCGAATGTAAATGAATAAATGTAATCTACATACTAAAACATACGTTGATTTAAATGGTGCACTTGTGGCACCAACAGGTGTGCTGAAAGCCACATCTTGAAAAGGGCCAGCCATCTTTCCACGAGGAAACCATCCAAGATCACCACCTTTCTTCCCTGATGGGCATTCTGAGTACTCTGATGCAAGCTGAAAATGACAATATATAAATCAGCTATAATTCCACGGAGACCGATTGTGGTTACAATATACCATACCCCTAGCAGAAAAACAAATAATAACGAATGTCCGATATATATATATTGCCATCTTATGAGTACATTCTCTTTTTTAGGGAAAGAATGGCCAAATTCATAAAATCCACAGCATTGCCACCATTGGCTTGAGTATTTTGAAAACTCGCCTAAGTTTCTACAATCTGCCAAATTTTTATGTTTTCTTACTATTTTCTTCCAATAATCATAATCCCTTCAGACACAAGGAGGAGCAGCGGGGAGAACAACTAGGAGGGGGAGGGTTTGAAGCAAATGCAAATCAAGGGGGGCAAAGGCGTGCGCGCACACACACACACACCCAGTAAGAGAGAGAGAGAGAGAGAGAGAGAGAGAGAGAGAGAAGAGAGAGAGAGAGAGAGAGAGAGAGAGAGAGAGAGAGAGAGAGAGAGAGAGAGAGAGAGAGAGACGACGAGTAGAGTAGACGTACGTACGACGACGTACGTACGTACGACGACGTACGAACGTACGTAAGTAACGTAACGTA